TGTTCTTCTGATCCCCTTTTAACATAACTGTTTCTTAACTCAGCTTTCCTGCTGGTGCTTTTGAGACAAGATTTGTAGATCTGGTCAGAAAAAGGCAGTTGAGAGTTACCAGTCATCCAGCCTTTCCTTTTCATGTCTTTCGCTGAAGGAAGTTCTCCTAAAATATACCGTCAAATTTCATTCCAAAGAAAACCATGGAGAGGAAGGAGAAAGCAGCCTGCTGAGTCTGAACCCGCTCCCTGTCTCTTCGGCAGGTTGGAGCCCTCTCCCATGGTGGTCTCCTTTCCCAGGCAAGGGGTTGGAGGACAGAGGCCATGGCATGGATAGGAGGGTGCAGAATAGATGGGCGTCTCCCTGCATCTCCCTGTACCCCTCCCTCAAACTTTTTAAGGATCCACTTTCTTCCACGACACTCAAAAAAGCGGGTTCTGAAGAGATACTGTAATTCAGAGTTTCAGCCGCAAGTTGCAAAATGTTATGGAAAAACTTCTGATGCGCTGAAAGAGTGAATTTACACCAGGCTTCCTCCCATCCATCTTTTCCTGATGGTTTAAAACTGCAGAAGCTGGACTAAGCAAAGGCTTATCAATACTTTTTGCTTTTCAAATACATGTTGGAGCTTTTCCTTTTAAAATAGAAGTATGAAAAATGGGCTTTTCCTGGTACTTCTGGACTTTTACTAGGCTTCGATTAACTAACAGAGAACTGCTTTTGTTTCTGTTAATGAAGTGGATGTCTGGCTTTGGCGGGTATTTCTATCTCGGCTTCCATTTTGTATCAAGAACCAACAACCCACTAGAAAAACTGAAGGAGGGTGATTTACGATAATAATAAGTGTGTTAATAACATCTCCTTAGCCTTCACCTGTTTCCTAACTGAAAGTAATTAAGGTGCTATGATTATATGAATAATTAATAATGATATAATTAATTTTATATCTTTGTCGAATAATGTTTCCACCATGTGGGAGGAAACTGCTATTCTGGTTAGGCTGATGTTGGATTGCTTGCAACATAAGTGTTGGAGTCCAAGAAATACAACAAGGACAAGAAAGGAGACAAATAACATAATGGTTATTTTCATTTGTCTCTAAGGAAGTCTCAAAAACCATGTAAATGTTTTATGTTTTCATGAAAACACATGTTTTATATTGCCCATAAAAACACAACTTTAAAATAAACAAATTCAACTTGCTCGCATTAGAAAACTTCGTGTTAATTAGGCTAGTTACATACCTTTTAGCAATACTAGTGTCAAATTATGATAATGCTGCGTGACCCATAACTCACACATCTGAGAAATGCTGCCTTTCCTAATGGAAATGGAATAAAATCTTGTTCCTTTACCGTAAGTTGCGCAGCATGTTGGATGAACAATGTTGTGTGCTCGTCTCTAGAGAATTTAGTGTAAAACAGCTCCAGATTTTGTTTGGTGATCTCAGAGCTGGCTGAATAACTCCAGCCTTCCACAGCTCCAAATGCTGACATGCAGGGAGATGAGACTTTCAGATATTAAAAGCCTGCTCTGTGATACTGAAGGAGATTAGTTTTTGGAATCCATTCATTGACACAAAGACCAATGCTGAATGGAGGTTATATTTATTGTCTATGAAACCCCTGAGTTAGCTGAAATCACTTTAAGCATGTACATGCATACACGTATTCTCTCACATTTAGCCAACTCCCCATGATGCTGGTTTCTTTGAGCCAGGAGCAGACAACTTTCAGGGACTTGGCTTGAAAAGATGCGTGCATGTTACACCCTCTGTCACATTTTACAAGAGACTACAATCAAGCAGTCTTTATACTCGGATTGTCTAGACGCTGTGACAATGTGGGAGAGGGCAAGTGAAAGAAAAAGCCCTTTTTGTCAGTCATTCACTTTGCATCAAATTCTCCTTCCCTGTGCGCTGCCACTGCCAGCAAAGAGATAAAGGGAGCAAAAACCAAACAAAAATCAAGAAACTGATAATTCGCTGGTTTTCTATCCATATCATTCCTAGTAAAAAGAAAACCCCAAACCATTATTTTTCTGAAACTGCCAGGACATATGTATACCATCTCCTGGTTTATTCAGTTTTTTCAGAATTAATATTTTCAATGATTTTATTTTTGCAGCTGATTTGTAGTTTTAACTTTTTCCTCATCGATGTGTAAATGAAGTGTGTAGGGGCTGTCTTGTCAGCACTTGTAACTTGATATGTGAAATCCTCCCAGACTTCAGTGGAGATTTTTTCCCCCCGCTCAGCTGGAAGTTTGCAAATGAGCAACAAGAAAACCCCTTTACCCCACCGCTCTCCCAGATTTCATGTTTCCCATTGCTTTTTTTCTTTCATTCTTTCATTTTCTTTTCTACTTTTTCCTGTGAAAACACATGGGAAAAAATAAGAGGAGAAACAGAGCTGGGAGGGGAAAGGGAGGAGGCGATAGAGTTTCACAGGGAGGTAAGGTTACAAGCCAACAAAAAGGCTGCTTAGATTCTTCTTTAAATAGTAAAGCCTGCATATCACTTAACTGTTTTGAAGTGAATAAGCATATGTTCCAGCATGAGTCCCGGACTCATCCTCCCACCCGAAGCCTCCCTGGGCTCTGCCCGTGCTGATAGCAGTGAGATGAGCCGTCGCCCCACGGGGCCCTTGCCCTCCCTGTGGTCCTGCTTCACTCCCTGGCATTGCTCGTGGGGCTCCTTGGCTCTGAGAGGAGCCGGGAAGACCTCATCTCTGAGTGACATCTCCAAAGAGAAGGTCTCCAGAGCCAGACTGTCCTGCTGTTGAAACGGGTAAAAGCAGCAAAGATATCTGCGCCAGCAGTTTTTCACAGCTGATATGAAGCTGGCCGGGGCACCTCTGCACCCGTCGTGGTCCCTGTGGGCTCACCTGGAGTCACTGCTGGTCCCACACTGGGATGGACAACCTCGAGCCCCAGCACAGTACCCCGCACCTCCAGCACCGACCCAGCTACCAGGGCGAGCAGAGGCTGGAGGCCCATGGCTGCCACAGCAGTAGCAGCAGCAGTGTCTTTTGTGGCCTCCAGGCTGCAAACCCCTTTCCCTCGACCTGTTGTCGCTTTAGTTTCTTGAGGGATCCCAGCTCATGCCACCCGTTGCAGCAAGTGCAGAGTTGAGAGTCGTTTCTGTTCGTGTGAAGAGACTTAAACGTTTTGGTGAGGGAACTCTGCTGAGTGAACATGGCATCTTGAAGGAAAAAGAGAAATGCAAAAAGGGCACCTTTAAGTTAAGCTAAGAGCAAGAGATGGTAGACCTGTGCTAACTGCAGGCAATACAGCTCAGGGAAGTACATTAAAATGGTGCTTGTTTTTCTGAACAGGCTTGTAGAATAACTGGAAGTATCTTCAAATTGTAGAAAATACCTTTCAACAGAAGGTTTTTTTTGATTAGGCAGGTTAGATTTAGGAAACAGGTATCCAGATTGTGGACTGTCACAGGCAAGCAGGGAGCTACTGCATAATTTTTCAAGCATTAGCAGTGGAGGAATATGCTTTTTTTGAATCCCATGAGTTTGTCAAAACCAATTTCCTGTGTTGATGTTGGGGTAAGGCATACAAAATAGCCAGCCTGGCAGCTACAGAAAAATGAAGATATTTGGAAAAGGGTAGGCTTTTTATTTACTCTAAGTGATGGATATTGGCTGAAATGTGAAAAGAAATACAGAAAAAAAAAAAGGTCTTTGCTATGCTTTTTTTTTTTAATGTTCTATGCATTTTCTCCCTGTCTATTTGTATATTCTGGACAAAGTACGTCCAGTAATTCTAATTTTTTCAAAGATTTTTCTGTTGTCACTACTCTTGCAGCCCCAGTGTTTAGAGTATGTTGTTTGTGTGCCAGGTTACGTCTAAGAGTCACCGTACTGGTTCAGATCAAGGGTGCATCCAGACGAGTATCTGATTCCTTAGATTCATCACACCCAGCTTCAGAAACTCAGGTTTTGTGTCTAGATTCAGCTCAAGTCAATAGGAAAGAGTTCGGTAACACCAGCGCATGGATTATAAGATTTTAGAGCTGACAGATGACAACTGATACCAGGTAACAGGGTTAACCTCAGAGGACTGCTTCTAAGATGTGGCCGATCACCCTCTGCCTCCCTCCACCTAGAGAGGGGTAGACACCTAGAATTGAGAGATGTTAACCCAGGCCCTGGTAGTGCCCCATGAGGGTGCTAAACAAGAGGTTACAAGAATTAAAAAACTTAGTGCAACTCTTGCCACGTCATACCCTCTCGGTTTCCTCCTGTCTGGGATCCAGACCTAGAGACACTCTGCATTTGACTTGTTAATGCCTTCGTGACTTTCTCTAGTTCCTTAACTCATGTATACCTTTGGTGGCTGCTCCACCATCCACTACCGGCAGGTTTTACACTTCTGTTCGGTACTGCATAAAAGGGCGCTTCCTTTTGTTTTCATTGTGCCATCTGACGAGCTCCCTCCTACTTTCCGGTGCTGTGCTAACTATCAGCACATTGCATATGCTTTTCTGCCTGTCACGCACAGCTCCAGCAATGGAAAAAGGTTGTATTGCCTTTAGGTGAAGTCGGCTCTTGTGTAATTGGCAAGGTCAAACATGACCGGTGAGCTGAGTGCCTCGCTCTGTGTTTTGGGGGGCAGATTTAAACACCTCCAGCTGCACTTTTTGGCTGAGTCCTTTGCCTGCCAGTTGTGCTCTCCTGGCGAAGGGTGAGCGAGAGGGGTTTCATCCTCTCGCTACCTCCATGCAAGGCATCGCCTGGCGGGGCTGGGCAGAGAGCTGCCACTACCCTAAGAGCAGGCAGGACCCCCTTCCCCAGGCCTTGATGGGAAACCACTGCAGGAAGATTTTGTGCGAGCTTTTCCCAACGAGTCACTGTTTATATTCCAACCACTGTGGGTTTTTTTCAAAGTACTTAACTTTTGAGCAGTGAACTTAATTTGATCCTTGTCATGTGTGGGTTTGGAGGAAATCTGGTGAGCATCAATGTCTGAACACCTGTCCTTTCCTTCCTCTCCTAGGATTTTAGATAATGGGCTGTGTGCAATGTAAGGATAAAGAAGCAACAAAACTGACTGACGAGAGGGATGGCAGTTTAACTCAAAGCTCCGGCTACCGCTATGGGACAGATCCCACTCCGCAGCACTATCCTAGCTTTGGTGTGACTTCAATCCCAAACTACAACAACTTCCATGCCACAGGAGGCCAAGGACTGACAGTGTTTGGTGGAGTCAATTCCTCCTCTCATACAGGGACGCTGCGTACAAGAGGAGGAACAGGTGAGTTTCAAAGCCTTCTTTCAGTGCTCTTAGTGAGTATCAATCACATAATTACAGCAGAGGGACGACTGTCTCAGCATCCTGCTTTTGGGAAGAGTTATGTCATGAAATAGTGCAAAGAACTGAAGTAGGGGTGGAGCTGGGTCTTCAGCCCTACCTTTGCTAACCTGCAGGTGCTAGTTCACTTTGGGGGGCAAGAAATTACGCGTACATGCCCAATTTCGCTGACTGCCTGCCTCATCCCTCTACCAGGGAATGGAAAGTGTGGTCTGAACCACTTCAAGTAATTAACAGGAAATACTTGGCATGGCTATGTCTAAACTCTCTCTTCAAACCGCCTTTGCCTGCTTGGGATCCTATGCTGTGTGTGGGTACCAAACCAAGAGCACTGATGGCTGTACAGAGTGAAGGAGGTGGCGTGCCTACTGGCTGCATAAAAGCAGAGGGATTAGAATAGCTGTCCAAAAAGTAGGAGGCTTCAGTTTATTTTGCTCCTCAGCAACCGGAGTAGCTTACATTTGGCTTAGCTATCTCATCTCTTGAGGCTCCTTTCCCTCCTGTTTTTTGTGATAGAGTGTAACTCCCCTGTCTTCTTCCTTAGGTGTAACTCTTTTTGTGGCGCTTTATGACTATGAAGCAAGAACAGAAGATGACTTGAGTTTTCACAAAGGAGAAAAATTTCAAATACTTAACAGCTCGTAAGTTTTAGACTTGGAAATATGCTTTTTAATATTTTTAAACTTATAATGTTGACAATTATATTTATCAGCTTATGTTATTAGTAAAATCTAACATTGGATATTCAAGATATGTAGGGGTTTTACTCTACGCTTACTTACTTGTCTTTGCATTTAGTGCACTTTTGCAAAGCGCTTTATTATTGGGAAAAAAAAAAACCTTCAACCACATGCAGCTTTACTTCAAAAATAAGCATTAGATTGTATGATTCACTGCTTACATTTCACAGTAAACTCACATTCAGAACTGAGAGTACCAGCTCTGTACTTTACCAGTAGTCACAGAAGCTCTGCAAGGCATGTAATAATACTTTTTGCAATCTGCTGTGAGTATCTCTACACAGAAATGAGCTAAAAACTGATTCGCCAAAGAGACGTTACCCAGACTTGCGTGCCAAGTTTAAAAGCATTTTTTTTTCCTTTTAAAGGTAGGTGATACAGTCAGAACATGCTAGGAAGTTCTGTTAAGTGCGAATGCACCATTGTACAGTTGCATTTGGCATGAAAACCACGCTTCCATCCTGGAAATCACCAAATTAAAATTAATTTTATTAACTGCCCATAGAAAAAAATCCCTTAGCAATTTAAAAATAACATCTAAAACTTGTTGTGCTACTGACCTATATCTGAACATCTTGTAATTCTTGGCTAAGAATATAAAGTTGAAGGCTTTGTGTTATGTTCAGTACTGCTATCATGTAGAGGTAAAAATGGGTTAACAACCAGGTATGTCACTTTCTAGAGGCTTTGTGATACTGCTCTCATCTTTTTTTCTTACACTATGTGACAGTGAGGCAAATTCATCCCTGGTGCAACTCCTGTTAATTTTAATAGAACAACTTCAGGGTTGGAGTTGGCCCAATGTGCATTAAAGTTTAAAAAAAAAAAAAAATCAGGTAATTCTGTGGAATATTTCATGAAGCCGTGAAGCTGAAGAGCTTTGATGTAGATGAAAGCACAGAAACTTCAGTTACGACTTGTAGAGGGAGCAGCAGTTTAAAAACCTCTCTACTTCTAAATTAGCACTTGGAAAAAAACCCTTTTTTAACCTATCATCCATTTTTGGATGATAGCAGTTGCCTGCTGCTTTCCTAGCCTCGCACAAACTATGCCATAACTTGAAACAAGAAGAAATTCCACGTATTATAAATTCCTTACACATGCCAGTTGATGAAATCAGGGGGTGCTCACCAGGACTCGCGGAGCAATCATACTTGGAGTCTGTGGGACAGAGAGATTCCCCCACGTGTGGGCGGTTGCAGTACATGCATTTTGATGCACTAATTACTGCCTAGAGGAAGGTTTTCTAAGAGAAAAAAAACCAAGCATCCACTGACTTTCTTGTAGGATTATAGAAGCTCAGTTCCCATCGTAGTCAGCTCTGTCTGCTTATAAACACGGACCTAACCACACTCCTGGAGTACTGACAGCCAGGCTGGGAATCTCCAGAAAGCAGCTTTTCTGTGAGAATGCTTCCTCTCTTCACTTACCTCAGAAATGTTATGAAAGAAGCCCATTTTTTTAAGAGTCTGCCGGTGCTGCTTGCAACCAGAAAGCATATACGTACACAAAACTAATTTGTCTGGAATTTTTGGAGGGGGGTGGATTTTTTTTTAGCTCTCAACAAATGAAATTTGGTTTGTGCTTTGGATTAAAAGTTCAGGACAGCAATACCTGAAATGGCATACAGAGGGTATCCCTGTGATTTGAAGTCAGAAATGATACCAAGGGCAGCCTTGGGGAAAGAGGTAGCTGCAGGGGTGGCTCAGAGCAGAGCCTGACTTTGGGGCTCAGAAACACTCGGCCATCCCCTGCATCCCCACCGCCACTCCCGCACACCCTGGCTAGCCTCCTCCTACCTCAGCTGGGTGTCTAAAATTAAGAGCCGTGAAAAAAGTCTGCATTCCTCCTCCTTTCTGGCAGTGCTTTGAGAGATTTAAGCTTCTCTGTCAAAGCAGAGGGGGTTGTTCCTGATGTTGTGATCATCTATGGGACTGCTTTTTTCCTCCCTAGATATGATAAAATACCTCCATCTAGTGGACTCTCTGTACAGTAAGGAGAAGAAATGTAATGGTACAATTTATCAACCACAGTATGGCATAATCTCTCAGAAATATTCTACAGCAACATCTGGGGGAAGGGTTAGCACTTCAGCTGATCAAATGAGGGACGTAAACAGATAGGGCCATTTGCCTGACATACTAATGCACACAAAGTGTATTAGAATAGTGTCAGCTGCCAGCCTCTAGAAAAGCTACTTGTTCTTCACTTTTTTGAACTGCAGAATTGGAAACGTCTCCTTTTTGACTAATCACAGCTGTTTTCTAGTTGTTTTCCACAGAGTTCATACTCCTTCAAACTGTTAAAGAAAGCGGGGTTGAAAATTTAAAGTAAGAGCTCACCTTGACACAACCTGTCCTGCCAGTAATAGCTTAGACAATGTGTTTTCTGTAACTGCTTGCTTACAGAAGAGGCTGAATTCTCTGGCCACGTTTGATAATAGTGTTTTATTTTGGTGAACAAATCTCTGTTTTACAGAGAGGGGAACTGAGAAAGAGTTTCCAAGCAGTCCAGAAATAGAAAAGAAAATGCTTATTAGTAGTAGTAGGAGTTAAACATGGGTGAATCTGGTGCTGAGAGTGAAATACAAATTGCTAAATCCGAAATCATTGCATCGTGTAAAAAGGTGAGAAATAAACTTATCTTAAACCTGCGCATTCTAAAGCAACGCGCACTGTCTGAAGGGCAGTACATGTACACACACACGTACGACAAAAATTGATGCTAGGCCTGCGGAACACTGCCATAAGATGGTCCTGCATGGACCTCTTCATATTTAAATGTTGTAGAAGAATGGGGTTTTGTAAGTATTTGAAAATGCAGCTAAGTCCTTTGCTACTTCAGATACGTCCTCTAGGTGACCAAGAGAGGGAATCTAGACAATGAAGTGTGATCCTTAAGGGCTATCTAAAACTCCATGTTGATAGATGGCTTTTTGATGCCTTTGGGTTTCAGATTAATTGTCCCCGTAGAAGTTTAAAATGAGCAGTGTTCAATTTGGCAGTTTTTCTATAAGCTCTCTCAAGGGCCTGTATTAGAATAATTGCTATGGAGACAGTTTTCAATATTCTAGTCCAAATCCAGCCCTGGGTTGTTATGCCAGTTTATGCCATTATGCTACATTTGGAAGGCTACAATACTAATCACCACTGAAATAATAATAGGTGTAAAGAAATACATATATTATTTGGGTTTAGATGCAAACAGCGCTCTCTGAAGCACGCCAGTGGTAAAGAGATGAGTTGCTGTGGGTGCTTACACCGCGCAGTTGCGGGTGCTGTTAGCAAAGTCAGATCGTTGTCTTTACAGCTGTGTCTCGCTCTCACTTCTCTTCCTCACCTCTGTTTCTGCAGGGAAGGAGACTGGTGGGAGGCCCGGTCCTTGACAACAGGCGAAACTGGTTACATTCCCAGTAATTATGTGGCTCCAGTCGATTCCATCCAAGCAGAGGAGTATGTTTGCTTTTCATTGTAGAGACCCATTAGTGCTGTATTTGAAGGAGGTTCGAGGAGTTGGTTTTGATTGATTGCAGCAATTTTTCAAATGGCTTACATTATTTTTATTTCAGTTCTTGACTGCACTGATAAATAATTAGGTAATTAGTAACAAAAGAAGCACAAGCGCAGTGCTTTTTCAATGTCAAAACAAAGGAAGAAAACCTAAAGGAACTTAGGTCTGCTTCCTTTATTGTCGACTAATTTCAAGCTTTAAGCGAAAGGTGCCCTTGCTTTTCCTGAACCAACTTGTAAAAATATTTGGAGTCAATTAGTGTGCAAACTGTCTATTAAAAAGGGCACATTGTGTCAACAAATACCTACCAATAGGTAGGATGCCTAGAACGCATAAAGCAGGCAGCATAATGAGGTCATATCTATGTGAAAAATGGAGTGCTGTGTGTATCCATATTATTTCCAGTATAAAAGATAGGCTGGAGGAGCTTATGTAGCTGAGCAGGTATTACTGTAATCTGTACTTCAGGTTATACTTGGTTGATTGTGAAACCAAAAAAAAAAAAAAAAAAAAAATTGCTGCAGGAAGGAAAAACTTCTGAAACTCTGAAAGCCTTATACAAGCATAGTAAAGTGGTCGCATCTGGTCCCTCTACTGAGGTTTTATAGCTGTGCCGCCACAAAAATATTGAATACTAATACATCACTGTGTAAGTCAAATCTGTAGTTTATAGCAACATCTGTAAAAATACCACTCTTCGGCACTGACGCATTTTTGTGCCCTTTTCCTTGTGTATTCCTTCTCCCTGCCAAATCTTGCTCTCTGTTTGTCAAAGTCTGGCCTTTGTCCTAAGACACCAAACAAGCATTCTCAACATCTACTGGTTATAGGCTGAATGCGTAGTGCTACTGCACAACGTATACAACATTTACTACACAGTTTGTGACATTAGCTTCCCACCACAATAGAACAGACACAGTATGACAAAAATGGTTGAATATACTTGAGTAACCATAGTTTCCACAAATAATCCTCCATGTCTGAGCTCCGTGATACTACCTAGTAATCCTATGTAGCATTTGTCTTACTATTTCTGATGTTTCCCTAAGGTGGTACTTTGGCAAACTTGGCCGAAAAGATGCTGAGAGGCAGCTGTTGTCATTTGGAAACCCCAGAGGTACCTTCCTGATCCGGGAAAGCGAAACTACCAAAGGTAGGCTGCCCAAAGCTATTCTGCCTACGAATGAGAAGATATATGAAAAAAATTGTGCTAAGTTTGTGAAATACTGTTTTCAGTGGTGTGAAGGTAGAGATAAGTGTCATCTTGGATATATGTGTGCTAGGGAATCAGATGTCTGGACATCCCAGGTCTTAGAGTGAGCGTTCAAAGCAGAGAACAACCCAAGTGCAACCCATGCCGTGCTCAACCCATGGTATCTCCAGTGCAAGTCATGCACAGGCAGGGTGCTCTGCTCTGTTGTCACACTCTGAACATCGCACTGTCTCTTTCAACGCGTGTGTTAAGGATACTACTATTGCAATGGAGTTGGGTGGAGAGTGGCCCCTCAGAACAGCAGCTATGGGGCTACCCAAGGAAGACCTCCCGGTGTCCATATTCAGGTCCAGGCACAGCCAGCTAGCTTACTGTGAACAGATGCTGGGAATCTCCAGTCTAGTTTGGTGAAAATGACTGCTTACTTCTGAACAAGCAGAATATTTGAACCTTCCTGCCTGGAAGATGTAAGATAAGATTTTGGGTGGGAAGGAGGTACTGGTTATTATTTTGGAAAGATTAGGGGATTTTTTTGGTCTTTCACCTTTGAAATGCTGGATCCCGGGGCGGGGGGGAAGATGTAGCGGTTTTAAATTCATAGATTAACAGTGAAAAGACTTGAAAATATTTCTAATTAATGTATTCATAAAGCATTCAACTATATCCATTCTGTTGAAGTCAAGTGGAAGGATGTATTCTCCTCCTTCCCTCTAAAAATATTGGAGGAGTTCCAGTTTTCTTGGTGGGTGCTATCTTTGCTTTTACATTTTGTTCATGAGGTCTGTCAACATCTTCTTCAAAGCTTCACATGTATGAAAAGATCTCTCTAACTAACTCATACAACTATTGAGGAGAAAACCTGCAACTAAGTGAAAACAAACCTTGCCATTTCTCAATTAACCAGCAATCCAAAACAATAGCTGTGGGAAGCATAAGTCACTAGAATTAATTCCATGTAAGTTCTGAAGTCTAATGATGGTTCATGTAATTAAAGCACTGACTTGTCAGTGCTTTGGTCAGAGCACACTCTGTCAGCTAGAGTTAGCATGCAAAGTGGTTGGAGTCACGGCTGGTAAAGGGGCTTAAAGAAGAGAAGCACTACTTCCCACTCCTCTCTACCTGACCTGTCTTCAGATGCTGCATTCTGTCATCTAAAATTGTAAGTTTTACATTTTTGACTCCTGCAGTGACTGAATTCTTCCTTCACTGCCCGAAACTCTGAGGACTGTTTCTGATGCAAAATCTGAATAGACATGCTGTTGTTTCAGACAGCTAATTTCCCATCTCGGCACCCCACAGCTTCGCCATACCTTACGTAGCAGTGAGGCATTCTCACCAGGAGCAAGACAGGCTCTAACTTGCTCTTTTTCTGCAAATAGCCTCCACCTGTTTGTTTTCACCAACAGTAGTTGTGATGTGTGCGAGGAGCAGGACTTCATTCCACTCTGTGCCGAGTTTAAAAGCTCACTCATATAGGCATCCATGGACTCTAAAAACAAACACAACACTGTTTCTCTAAACCACATTATCAGTTTAGTCTGTTTTGAGCATTATTTATACAGTGATAGGGAATATGTTTTGCAGGGCTGTTTACTTAGCTAAGTCAGGGCTTTTTTCTAGAGCTTCTTGTGAGACACAAAAGCATTGTGGAAATGGAGTAATCTGTCATGGGTGGACTTATAGCAGCGAGCTTAATTTCCCTCCATTTGAACTTAAGGCTTTCTACATCTTCAGGCTAAGTTTGCATCAAAGCCATTGGAGAAAACCAAACATGCATGGGTTTTGTCAAAAATTCCTATTTCCCTTCTCATCCTTGTGGTGTTTCAGTATGTTGTTAGAAGAAAACAGAGGGAGCTTGTTGTTCATGAGAGAGAAAAAAGTCAGCTGGGAGGGCTTGAATGGTGCATTCTCCCATAAGTCTTCTCAAAGTGCCTTACTCCAGCTAGTCATCTTGGGCTTGAGGCAGGAATTGTTTTGTGACCTAGAATCGTCCCTTCTGCTTTAAATAATAACAATAATAAAATTAATCAGGATCATGTTAAAAGTATCATCATGGATGACTTCAACATGAATTTAACCGCCCTTGATCATGGTTGCTTTCTCTTCTTACTTCCAAAATAAATCACATGGAGCTGGCTTTTCATTTTTTCAATGCCTCACTACCCAGGTACTTCATCAGCTCTTGTCTGTATAATCCTTCACCTGGTTTCAATCTCCACCCTCCAAGGCTGTCTGGTTTTAGGTTTGTTTTTTTAAAAAATTCATTAGTATGATATATCGTAGTAATGTCGTATTTCTATCCAAATTTTTATTATGTATATCTCTTATATTTGAATTTATCATCAGATAATAATGAACGGTATAAATAACCAACAGTCTAAATAATGAATAATGAAATCCATCTTGGTTCTTGTTTTTGTCCAGATTTGAACTAAAGCTCCAGTCCTGCAACTTGATCTGAGGTCAGCGGGGGTCCACAGAGGGCCACCCACACAGCTCTGATTGCAGACCTGGAGCCACAGATTGTTTACATTTTCCTAAAGAATCTAAAATAGTGACCAGATAGGCAGGGAGCGTGACTAAAGAAAATACAGCTGCTGCCAGTGGATCAAAACTCACAAATGCGGAGGTGGAGAACGCTGCCTGGAAAATTTGAAAGTAGCCTGCCAGTGTACAACCCAGCGCGGTGGTACAAAGCATGCACAAGATGTGCTTGCAAATCCCCAAAAAGCTTTGAACTCCTAGCTGAGAGAGATGTACTTGCTCAGTGGGAGAATCTCCTCAGAAAAATATCCTAAACAAACTGTATTTTTCTACACTTAGAAATAAAAACCCTGTCACTCCTCTCAGGGTGTCTCCCATTCGCATAAACCAGAATCATCTGTAAGTGCTGGGTTTTTTCCTCCTATTTAGAGGACAAACAACAGGGAATTTAAGAACCCCTTGGAGTCAGGGTGTAGACGTTTTGTTCACTGCAGCTCCCTCAGCAGTGAGCCAGCCACCAGTGTGACCTGTTGCAGGTTAACGTGGTCAGGGAAACTTCTTCCTGGGGAGGCATCCAGGAAAGACATCTTACACCAGGAATCTCAACCACCTAACTGTGGGGGGGTCTTTAAACCATTTCACTTAGCTGGAGGTCGTTCCGGAGGATGTGAACCTGCCAGGTGTGTTGAAAAGTACCCTGACTTGGGATAAGCAGCAGTCAGTACTGTTTGCTATCAGACCTGTAGGAGATCACTCCACCTTTCACGTTGTCCAAAATTGTCTGCCGGTGGTTTTCCTTTCCTGCCCTTTGCTGACGTGGCTACCAGTGAAAGCAGCCCAGGCTCCAGAAGGAGGGCATTCTTGAGACCTCTGCAGCCGCCAGTTACCTCCCGTTTTTTTCCTTTTAATGTCTGAATTACCTTTGAGTAAACACAGTATTTGTCTGAGCCATGAGTGGAGACTTGTCTTCTCCACTGCCTTTGAAGTGGCCACGCTTTTGCTCAGAAACTGCATTATGCTGTAAAATGTGGCTTTGCTTCTGACACTGTAGAGAACCAACATGCGGTGTCACTGTATGTAGAATAGGACTGTGCTTCAAATTAAGACACCTGAATGTGCAGGTCCCCACGTAGGTGGCCAAGCTCCCTTTAAAGTCAGCAGGA